TCTCTATCTCTCTGTTTCTCTCTGTCTCTTTTTGTCTGTCTGTCTGTCTCTGTGTCTCTTTCAGGTCTCATTAGCCGCCCTGGCTCCAATTATCTATCACTTCTATAAAGAAAATTCCCAAACCTATACATCCAACCTTTGCCTCTCTGGAGTCCCAGTCTTGCATTGCCAACTGCTTGTGGCACACCTCTACACAGGTGTCTGACTGGCAAATCAAATGTCCAAAAGCTCCTAGGTGCCCCTAACCCATCCCTCCCATTTTCCTTCCTTCATCTGTTCAGGGCTCCACTATCCTTCTAGTCAGGCTCAAAGCCTCAAAGTCATCCTTGGCTCTACCCAGTCCCTCTCCACCTCCCTCCAAGGCACTGCTCAGCCCCAAACCCCTGCCCAGCCTTGGTAGTTCTGTCTCACCAACCTCCTCTGTCTCTTTCCCCTTCCTCCCATTTCTCTATTCATGACAGTCTAGACACTCATCCTTTTCTTGCCTGAGCTACTGTCTTGTGCCTCTAATTGGTGTCTTTCTTTGCTTCCAGTCTGTCCCCTCCTCAATGTATTGCCCAATCTTCCTATGACACAAGTCTGACTATGTCACTCATAAATCTTCACTGCCTTCCTATTGCCTCTAGAATAAAATACAAACACCTCAGCCTGGCCTTTAAAACCTTCCCCAATCTGGATCCCCGTCTACCTTTTCCAGATATTTCTTGTTACTCCCCTTCACATATTTTACATTCTAGCCAAACTATACTGGCCTCCTGGCTGTTCTGTGAAATCAACATGCCATCTCCTCATTCTCAAGCCTTTGCACAGGCTGCTTCCCTATTCCTGGAATGCATTCCCTTCCCACGTCCCCACCTATTAGAATCTTATTTCCTTGGAAGCTCATCTCAGGCGCCACATCCTATCAGAGGTCCATCTTGCTCTCTCCTGTTGTTGGTATTCTTTTCATCATGATCTGTGTATAGCTAGGTGAGACAGCCAGGTGGAACCATGGACAGAGTGCTCAGCCTAGAGTCTGAGACCTGAGTTCAAATTCGACCTCAGACATGCTAGCTGTGTGGCCCTGGGCAAGTCACTTAATCTGTCTGCCTCAGTTCCCTCAATTATAAAATAGGGATAATAATAACATCTGCCTCCCAGGGCTCTTGAAGGGATCAAATGAGATAATCATTATAAAGTGCTTAGCACAGTGCCTGGCACATCGTACACAATAAATCCTTGCTCTCTTCCCTCCCTTCCCTTTCCCCTGCAAATCATAGTCTCATAGCCCAAATACAAACTTTTTGAAAGCCTTGTATTTTTGCCTTCGTATCTCCAGGGCCTAATAGCACCTTACATAGTCTTTTTGGTAGTTTTTTTTTTTAACACATAATTCCAATTATGTAGGAATTACTGCTCTAGAATTTGTTTAGAATCATTTTTTACAGGTATTTGGAGGGGTTTGGGGGAGAGCTCAAACAACTCACTGCTTTTACTCCGCCATCTTGGCTCTGCTCCCTGTAGGAATTACTAATGAGGAAACTGGCCACCACCACCACTGAATCTACTCAGCAATTATGGTCTTAAAGAGTTGTGTAGGGCACTCACAAGTGACTTGCCCAGGGTCACACAGCTAGTAAATGTCTGAGGCAGAATTTGAACCCAGGTCCTCCTGTCTCCAAGGCCAGCTCTCCAGCTATCATCATCACCATCATCACCATCAATAGTACTCTTACATGTATTATTTCTTCTAATTACATAGCCTATTGTTTCTGTAACTAACAACTTCCTTAGTTGACCACAAGCTCCTTGAAAGTAGAGAAGCATTCATAGGATCATAGGATTTAGAGCTGGAACCTTCTAGATGGGCTAATCTAACCCTCTCTTATAGTGTCTATTTTTGTACTCCCAGACTCTAGCACACAGTAGTTAAGCAAAGTGCCTAGCACATAGTAGGTGTTTAATAAATGCTTATTGGCTTGAGATAACAAGCACTTAATAAAACTTGTGAGAAATGAATTGTTATTAAATATTCTTCTTTGAGCCTCACAAACTTGTGAAGGAAACAGGGTAAGAACATTTCCCCCTATTTTGTGGATGGGAAAACTGAAACTTCAGTGGCTAAGTTAGCCAAGGTCATACAATGAGCTAGCAGACAAAGTTTAGACATAGAGGCCTGGTCCTCCTGACTCTTACATAGAGTTTGTGGCTTATTATTATCCCCATTTTACAGATGAAGAAACTGAGTTCCAATCTCTTACCATAGTGACATAACTAATGACTTGAATTCAAGTCATGTGACTCTGAGATCAGTGCTGTCCATCCACGAAGCAGTGCTGCTGTAACCTGGTGCCCCTCGCCTTGTTTGTGGGAGAGCTCCATTTGGGTGGATCCCTGGGGGACACTAGCCCCTGTGCTATGGATCTAGGGAGTGATGGTGAAGTTGGGCTAGTGATTGCCAGGTCTAAGACTTGGGGGCTGGCTGTGGGCCATGACAAATTCTTATGCTGTTTAACTTTTCCAGGAAAAGATCAAGCCTATAAATTAAAGGGGGGAGGGTAAAGGGAGGAAGGAAGGAAGGGAGGTTTCAGACCGAATATAGGCAAGAGGGCAGCAGAAAGATTTGTTCCAGCATATATAAGAAGTGCTTATCACATGATTTTTTCATTCATTCACTCACCAAATATTTACAAAGTACCCACTGTGTGCAGACTGTTTGGTTTTGTGAGAGCTATGATTTAGACAAGAAGTGGTCTCTACCTTCTTGGAGCTCCCGAGAGAATGACACAAAAGCAGTATTATACTCTATAATATTCTTATTGCAGTAAACTCTACATGAGAACCAAGAGGAAAGGTTGCTTTGGACAGGAGATAGGGATCTATAAAGATTTTTGGAGGTGACATTTGAGTATGCCTTTTAAGGATAGGTAAGAAGGCAGTGGGTAGAATTGGTAAAAGGAGAAGGCATCCCTGGCATTAGGAACAGCATGGGCAAAGGTGTGGAGGCAGAAGTGCCCAGAATGAATTGAGAAGTCAGAGATTCTTCCAGGTTTAGTTCAAGCTTAGAATGCATGTCAGCAGGGAGAGAGGAGAGTGACAGATCCTGGAGGGTCTTGAATGCCAAACAAAGCAGTCTGATTCTTATTCGGAAGCCAAAGACGATTTTCAACAGGGGTGTGACATAAGAGCAATTCAATTCCCACCTCCCGTTCAATTCTTCCTTGATAGATAGAAGTATACAGACAATCTGTAGGAGGAAGGATTAAAGCTAGATTTGTGGAAGAACTTCCCACCAGTAAATATTATTGATGGAGGCAAAGATGCTACCCTAGGAGGTAGCTAGATGCCTGGGAGCAGGAATCACTGGATTCGATGCCCGAGGTCTAATAATCCAATCTCAGTTCTTTGTCAATTTCAAGCTGTGGGCCCTTTGGTAAATTACTAGCCTCTTTATGAATCAGTTTTAAATATTCAAATAGAGCTAGGATCTCAAAGGTCAGATGTTCCTTCGGAGCATCTTATAATCATGTAATATTGGATTTAGAGCCCGAAGGAATCTCAAAGGCAACCCTCCCCCACCCACTCCCCTTTAGGGCTGAAGGTTAAGGGAGCTGCCCTAGGATCACGCTTCGAGTCCAGCACTGCTCAACCTAGGAAAAATTGTGTCCAAGTCTTCCCAACAAGTTCATCACAGGAAGTCCACCCTACTTTTGCTGAGATTTCTTTCTTGATATTTCAATGAAATGAAAGAGTCGGACTAGGTGTCTTACAAAGTTCCTTCCAGCTGTAAATTTATAATCCTATGAACTGTGGCTTGGCTGGCAGCAGAAGCTCTCACAGCCTGGTATAGCCTTGGGCACTTCTGCTGAAATAGCCACTGGAAGTTGGGGGGAGGGGCTGGGACTAGGGGAGGGTGGGCGCAATTTTGGAAACCTGGAATTTAAAGCTCTTTCCCTGGCCCCATACCTTTCCAGGCCTCCTGGAGGTGGACCGCACCGAAAGTACAGGATAAAAGAAAAGAGCCCACCCCAGCTCTACCCCCAGCCCTAAGGCCCCCTACTTCTCTTTTTGCAGCGGTCCTCACCAAGGGCCCCCCAAAGCTGGCTGCAGGGGGCCGGAGGGCGGAGCTCCGGGCATCAGGCCCCGCCCTTGGTTGCCCCGGGAAACCCTCGGTTGTAACAATGAGGGGGTGACTAGGCGAGGCTCAGGGGCCCAGGAGGGGTAGGGGTGAGTGAGGATTCTCCTGTGCCCACGAGGCGTGTCAGCCCCGCCTCCGGCCAATGGGAGCAGGCCGGGCCTTCTCCACACCCCCGCCCCGAGCGGCCGCGCGCCCCAAGTCCGCGCGCTGTCTTCCAATTTGGGGGGGGGTGGCGCTGTAAGGCTAGGGTGGCCACGTGGGGAGAAGGACACCCGGTTCAGGGAGAGCTCGGGGTCACCCCGGGCCACAAGGGCTGCCACGGTGCACGCCCCGCCCCCCCAGCCCCCACAACTCTCGGGCGTGGCTGACAGCCTCCTTTCCCAAACCCAGTCTCCAGGTACGGGTTCTCCCCGGGGCGCGCCCGCCCCTCCCCGCCCGGCCCCTCCTAGCCTGCGTCTCCAGCCCTGTGGGGCGCTGCAAACCCGGCTCCGACTCCCGAGAACGCCGCGCCCGGCGGGACCGGGGCGGGGGGGGGGAGGTGCCCGCGGCGCCGGGAGCGTGCACGCCCCCGCCCCCCCGTTCTCGGCTCCCCGCTCCCCCTTCCCTCCCCGCGCCGCGCCGGGCCCGCCCCCTCCCCAGCTCCCCCTCCCCTTCCCTTCCTTCCCCTCTTCTCCCCAGCTCCCCCCCCCCTCCCGGAGGTGCAGCCGGCGCTGAGCGCGGCAGGCGCGGGAGGAGCTGGAGCAGGAGCCGGAGCGGCGGTGGCGGCTGCCTTGGCAGCGCGCGGGGTGCAGGGGGCGGCGGCGGCCGCAGCAGCAGCAGCAGCAGTAGCAGTAGCAGCAGCAGGAGCGGCGGCTCCGGCTCCGGCTCCGGATCCGGCTCCAGCATGGTGCAGCCCGGCCCCATCCCGGGGGAGCGGAGGCGGCGCGCGGGGCCAGAGCCCGGGGAGCGGCGGCGACGGCGGCGGGAGCAGCAGCAGCAACGGCAGTGGCGGCAGCGCGAGCAGCGAGAGCAAGAGGCTCCGGCTCCAGCTCCAGTGGGCTGCAGGTGCTAGAGCGGGCCGGCCAAGGTGTGCGCCCACCTGGCCCGAGGCACCGGGCTCTGGCGTGGGGCGCAGCCACCGCCGCTCCGGGTTTCTCCATCGCCTTCCTCTTCCCTGCTACCGCCCTACCGCCTGGATCAGAGGGGGAGCTGCCCCCTAGCCCCAGACGTCCGGGAGCTGTGGAGTGCCCGGGGGAGAGTAGCCCTAGGCCAGTGCTGCCTGCGGACCCAAGCGCCCCTTGCCCTGCCCTGTGCTGCCCCGCCCCGCCGGGTGCCCGGAGCTGCGTCCAGTGACCATGGCTCTTCTCAGCCGGTGCGCCTGAACCCCAACCCCACGCGGAACCTGAACCGCGGGGACTCCCTGGGCCTCCCCGTCTTTCCTGGTGGGTGCCCCGTGGCCCGTCCCCCCACGGGGGCGCATGCCGCCCGGAGGGCTTCCCCTTCCCCCTCCCCTGTGAGCGCGCCGTCGCCACTGCTGGGTTCCCTGGTGCCACCCGTTCTGTTCCCTCCGTCGGGTGGCCGGACTCATCCGCCTAGTGCTCTCCTCTCTGCGGCCAGAATCTCTCACTCCTGTGCCCACTGCTCCGAAGCCGGAATCACCTGCCCTGTGGCCGCCGTCGGGGGCCCCCGGGCCGGGATCATGGCCGAGAAGCTACGAGGAGCGCATCAGGTGGACATCGACCCGGACTTCGAGCCGCAGAGCCGGCCGCGCTCGTGCACCTGGCCGCTACCGCAACCCGACTTTGCAGGCGGCGGGGAAGAAGAGGATGGGGCGGCCGGGCCCGGTAGTGGCGGCGGTGGCAGTGAGAGCACCGAGAACGGAGGGACTGGGGCGGGCGCTGGGGAGCGCAAGGCGGTGGTGGTGGCTGGGGCCCCGGCTCCCGGGACGGCGGCTCTACCGGTGCTGGGTGGGGACGCTGGACAGCTCCGGAAGGCTAAGACCTCTCGGCGAAACGCCTGGGGCAACCTGTCCTATGCTGACCTCATCACCAAAGCCATTGAGAGCGCCCCGGACAAGCGGCTCACACTCTCCCAGATCTATGACTGGATGGTTCGATACGTGCCCTATTTCAAGGATAAGGGTGATAGTAACAGCTCAGCTGGCTGGAAGGTGAGAGCCCCCGGAGTGCTTGGGCTACAGTAGAGAATGTCTGGGGTGGGTCTGAGGTGGAAAGGCTAGCTGACAGTGGGCACTAGCAGTCCTAGTGCCTGTGTCTGTAGGGGGAGGGGGGGATTGTACCCAGCTAGCCAGTGCATGGAGGAATGTGACTGGAGACTCAGGCTGGGGGAGGGGGGTAAGATGCTGGGTTCAGGACAAGTTCACAGCCCCCAGAGCTTATCCCCAGTTAGATCAAAGGTAGGTCCCAGGTGGCCCTTAGGTGGGTTTCCATGTCCCTTGCCTAAATGGAGGGAGGTGGCAATGGGGAGAATTTGGAACCCTACTTCCTAGTAGACCAGATAGGTCTTTATTTTTCCCTTGGCTGAGGTGAGGAAAATCGGGCACTGCCTGTTGACACCCCCCTTCTCCTCAGCCTTGTGCCTAGGAGTGTGTGTGTATGTGGATTATTGTTTTGTTTTGTTTTTGAAAGGGAGGGTTGTCTCCTTGAGGGGGGGAGGGGTAGGACCCTAGGCCTAGGTATAGGGAAAACACAGTGTTAGAGCACAGGAGTGGTACTCCCCAAATTGGGGGGGGGAGGGCAGCTTTGGGAGGAAAAGGAAGAAGAAGCTGACCCTGTAAGAAAGGGTCCCCTCCTATCTGCATGTGTGAGAGCTTTGAGTGTCCAGTTGCCTGCCAGCAGGTGGCATAGTTAACATGGGAAGCAGAGAAACTGAGGCACAGGGAAAATCAAAGGTTTACACAGAGGATTGGAGCTAACACCCCACCTCATTCCATTCTCTCTGATAGTCTTATTACCCCTGCTTCCTTTGGACTCAACGTGTTCTACTTGGGGGATTGGAAAGTGCTTACAAGTATATAGGGCTGCATCATTAAGGCTAGAAGGCCCCAAGTTTATATTGGGGAGTGTCCTCTGGGAGTTCTCAGGTCTGTGGGGAGGGGTAAGGAGCTCTTAATGCTTTTTCAGGTCTGGTCATAGGCACTTCCTTGCAGAGGCCTCAGGCCCTAATCTGTTTGGGGAGGCTAGCTTACTGGGACAGTGGCCATTGACCCTCCCCCAGACACTAGAGCATTGGTCAACTCTCTCCCTGTTCCCCCCTTAGAATCTGGCACTGGGCCACACCTTTCCCCTTGGTCATGCCACTGGTTCCTGGAGTTCAGAAAGAGGACAAGGTCATGCACAGGATTCTGGATATGCCCAGAATAAGCAGGGACAAATGCATTTGGTGATGGTGGTGGTAGTGGTGGTGGTGGTGGTGATGGTGGTATGTGTGTGTGTGTGTGTGTGTGTGTGTGTGTGTGTGTGTGTACATAATAGCTCTCATTTCTATAGTGATTTAAGGTTTGCAAATAGATTTGCCCATTATGTAGGTGAGGTATAGGCAGTGAGTATTATTATTCCCATTTTACACATGAAGAAACTAAGCCTTGGACAGTGACTTGTCCATGTTCCTACACTAAGCAGAGGAAGCAGGATGTGAACCTAGAGCCTGTATTGGCCCATACCCTATGTTGGCTCCCAAGCAAAGGCGTTCCACGTACCACTCAGTCAGCAGCTTTTGTGCTGAGGCTTGCTAGGGACCCGACCCTGAGCTACACACCTCAGGGAAGTGTAGAAGGAAAGAGCAGAGTCCCTACCTTCTGGGAGCTTACGATTCAAATGGTTGGCCAAGAATGAGCAAAGCCAAGAGAGCTAGCAAAAGAAGACGGGGTGTGCTCAGGGTGAGATGTGGGGTACAGCCCAGCTGGAGGAGCTTAGAGTAGGCTAAGGCTTTCTGTAGGAAGTGGGGTCTGGAATGATGAGACAGGGTAGAAGGATATTGCAAGCGAGGGATAGGTGTGAGCAGAGGTTGGAAAGTCTGAAAATCCAAGGCTGGCGGAGCAGAGGGTGGCCATGGTGTGGAGTTATGTGAGGCTGGAAAGGGAGCTGGGACAGACTGGGTGGAACGTGAATGCCAGACTTGAGGGGATCAGTACTCTATCCTTGTTGGAAGGGGGGAAGCTGCTGAAGGTGTTTTAGGGGGAAGTGATAGTGTCAGAGTTGGGAGGAACATCTAGTCCAATCTCTTCTTTTTGCTGAGAAGGAAATCAAGGCCCAGAGAGGAGGAAATAACCAGTCCAAGGTCATGTGGCAAGTTAATAGCAGAGCTGAGAATGGAACCCAGGTTTCCTGTCTCCCAGTCCAGGCTCTGTCCATTACCCTGAGCTATCCCCTAAAAGGGCCATAGAGGCATATAAAGCTTACCTACCTGTTCAGGGTTAAGAGCTTCCAAACTAACTACTCTATTGCATTGGCAAGGACTTGTCTGGGCTGCCCAGAGGCCTCGATTTCTTCATCTGTATAGGGAGATTGGATGGGACTTTACCCAAGGTCATAGAGGGAGCAGGGACCCCTGACTCCCAGTCTGGTCTGTAAAGCCTCAGTTTACCTTAAGCTGCTTAGAAGTGGATCTCCTTTTTCTATGCCTCAAGGAGAGAACACAGGCTTCCTCCTTCCCAGTCTTTGGAAGGAGCCCATGTGGCCCATGTTGAGAACTAGAGCCCTGGGTCACTGGACCTCACCTACCTCCATCCTTGTTGAGGGTGGAATGGGATGAGATAGAATTAATCACCCAGTGTGTGTGTTCTAGCACCTGCCAGAAAGGGAGAGCTCCCTGGGGTCAGGATGGTAAACTCCATCAGGCAGAGGAAAAGGAGGTCTCCCTAGTCAGTTGCTGATGGCTGGTTGGGTCCTGGAACAGATCCCTCATCTCTCCTCCTACTGATCTCTTTTCCCCCACTTCCATCCTTTAAAATTTTATTTTTTTTCTTCAAATATTTATAGGGCCCTTCCTGTGTTCCCGGCTTCATGCCAGGTACTGTGGGGCACATAGGAGGAACAGATTCAGTCCCTTCCCTCCAGATCTATTTGGAAAAAGAAGCTGTCCAGGTTAGAGAACCAAAGACAGTATTAGGCCAAGTCTAATCAGGTGCTGAGTATGATGAGGAGGGAAATTATTAAATTGGGGAAAGTTGCCTAGGTGAGGCAGTCCTTAGCTTGTACTCTGAAAGATGGGTAGAGCTGGCATAGGCCTCTAGCCCTCTGGGCACTCCAGAGATGGGGAGAGGGATTGGTGTAAGCAAAGGGTTGGAGGGAGGAGGCCTATTCTGGGCAAAGTAAGGTGACCAGCCAGAGTAGACTGTGCATGAAGCTAGGGACAGGGAGAGAAATCTGGAAAGGCAGCTAGTTTGGAGCCAGCATGTGAAGGGTCTTAAGTGCTCAGCACAGGAGTTGGAGAATTTGATCCGTAGGTAGTGGGAGCCACTGAGGATTCCAAGCAGGCTGGTGAATTGAGTTGCTTGTCTAACAGATATTTATTAAGCCACCTCCTGTGTCCACAGCATTGTACTATGAGCCAAAAATAATGGTTGAAAGAAGTCCTCACTTTACATGCATTATCCTCACAACAACCTTATGAGGTGGGTGCTCCAGGTAATTATCGTTATCTCCTTTTTACAGATGAAACTTGAGGTTTAGGTGAAATGATTTGTCTAGGGTCATGAGGGCAGGCAACGTTGGAGCTGGGGTGATATGGATGAGCAGCTGGTTAGGAAGATGATGAATACATATGTCAAGGATGGACTGAAGGGGAGAGATTGGAGGTGGAAATGCCAATCAGGCTGCTAGGCAGTGATGGGGTACTGAACTGGTTGGGGAAGTGATTTCCTGGAAGTTGAGAGGAGGGGACAGATGGGAGAGTAGTTGTACTGTTCTGGCCACCCCAAGACCTCTCCTTTCCTGCTTCATGCATGGCCAGCCCCAGACCTTTCTCCTAATCCTTCAGGACTATGAGATATTACATATGGAAGGCACTTTCAAGATCATTTAATCCAATCCTCTGATTTTACAGATGGGAAAAGAGAGGCCCAAAGGAAGGAAAGTGATGCTTCCAGGGTTACCCAGGCAGTAAATCGCCAAGGTGGGATTTGAATTTAGGCCCTTCCACTCTTAATCCAAAGCTCTCTTGGCATTGATTTCTTTCTTCTTGTAAAAGGGATTAAGAGGGCACAGACTCCAAAGGCCCTAGAGCTCCTGTGACCATACCAGGCATACCCAGCTCCAGTCCTCTGGGAAGCCTCCCATGGTGCATCTGACTTCTCCCCTGCCTCCTCTTCACCCCTTCCCCTTTCCTGTCCCCCTTGCATAAAATCCTCCCCTGAATCCCTGCCACACTTCTAACATACCATCACCAAGGGTAGGTTCCTCTGTATGTTATAAACTCTCTACTGTGTAGGTGGAATCTCTTCTTGGGTTGTTGTGGCACCTGTCTGGTGTATGGCCCCTACTAAGAGAGCTCCCTGAGGACAGGCCAGAAGCTGATCCATGTTTTTCCTCACCCTCCTACCTGAACACAGATCCACAAGCTCATAGGATAGAACTGGAAAGGATCATTATAGCATCATTGACTCTACTACTCCCATTGTATAGAGGAGGAAACTGAGGCCCAGAGAAGGTGAGGTAGGAATGGGGATTTACCCAGTGTCACACAGTAGTGAATTGTCATAACTGGGCTGAGAACTCAGGTTCTCTCACTCCAAATCCATCGTTCTTCCTTCCTCAGCCCAGTGAGGAGTTTCCCTACCCTGGGCCTGCTAAGGTCTTCCATTTTTGAGGGCCAGCTTCTTTCCCTAACCATCCTAGGAGAACACTGCTTCAGTCCAGGAGTTCGTCTGCAGGTGTCCTCCTTCCAACCTTTATTTTCAGTAACCTTTGGTTTCCTTTCTTTTTCCTACGGATTTTATTTCACTTGTTTAAGAACATAATTCTGAGAAACGATCCATACGTTTCACCAGATTGCCCAAGGGGTTCATTACACAAAGGGTACCCCTGCTCGGTAGCGTCATCTAATCCACTCTTACTGTTCTTTACGCCAGAGCTCCAGGAGCCCAGACTCTGACCCTTCTGGGGTCCCCCAGCCTGCTTGCCTCCTCCTTGGATTCAGAAAGGCCCACTC